GCTTCTCTTGTTAGTGATAGGCTAAAAATGGGTATATTGGTATGTTTATGTTGAAGAGAAGGATTTCTGCAATTGCTCGATATTTACCCGATTTCACGCATAGATTAATCGCCATTTTTTCTGTACAATGGCTAAGTATAAAGTCATAGCAGTCATTAAAGGTTTCCCGGATATTCAAAAAGTTTTTACCATACACATATTGTTCCAAGTAAGCTCTTTTTGATCTGTAAAACAGAGAAGCTCAAAAGCCAGGTCTAAGGCTGGTCTTAGACCTGGCTTCTGACTGGTTGCCAGAAAAAAATACGAAAAATGTTGATGAGCGATTATTTCCTGAATCTCATCCTTAAAGCCTAAACTTGAAACAAAAACTTCTCCTCAATAAAGGCAGTAATCTTTTCATGAACTCATTATCCAAAATTCCAAAAGTACACTCATTTCTGTGTTCGTTTTGAGGCAAAAAACACATGACGCCATGCTTCATTTCTCTCATATTCTCATTTTTCTTTAATCGCTTCTCGAATTTCCGGAGGAGAATTGAAGTTCTTTTTTTAAAGAAGAAAACATTTCAAGAATAATTCTAACCAAAAAAGAAAGGAAAGCTATTAAATTTCATTTCGTCACCGAGAAAAAAAATCGAATCGAACGTTTAAAGATCATTGTTTAATCATTCTAAAGATTTTTAAAAATTTTTTAATTTTAAAGTTAAGAAGTAAATTGTACTTTCCATTAAAGCTGGAACTTTTTCAAAACATTGCCTTACCTTTGAAACTCAAACTTTTAAACCAAAAGAACCTTCAGTTTTGTTTTTTAAACCTTCTAAACCCTCAGTTTTGTTTTTTAAACCTTTTAAACCTTCAGTTACCTTTTTTAAATAAGTTCTACGTGAAAATCTAACAATTTTTTCTAAAAATTTCTCTTCTCCTCGTTTCATTTTGTGATCTTTTAAGTCATTTTTGTTTTTTTCTGATGAAAAGAGATAGAGGAAAGGGTTTAACGGAAATTAGCATCAAAATGAGATGGAGGAAAGTCAATTGCAACAGAATTCCCATTCTATTTCATCGAATTTATGTTTCTATTTTTAAAAAAAACTTTAGAAACAAGTTATCAATGCGAAAATTTGAGTAGATCTAGTTTAAATTGAAAGCTTGATTTGTGGAAATGGGAGTGGGACAAATGCGACCTTTTTTTGCGCACCCGGACATTTGCGCACCTTCCGCACCTTGCCCATTAGCGCACCTTTTTCGCGTTTTAAAAAAGCTCTAAAAAGCTAATATTAACCAATTTCTATTCCAAAAGTTGTTTTTCTAGGTAATTTTAGGGCGTAGAATCGAAATTTTGACATATCAGAGCTTGTGGAAGCGAACGGACGGAGTTATACAAAGAGAAAAATCGACAATTTTCTGTAATTTGATCTAGCCGTTTTGTCTTTCAAATTGGTGCCACACGCTCTGTTATGTCAAAATTTCGATTCGACACCCTCAAATTACCTAGAAAAACAACTTTTGGAATAGAAATTGGTTAATATTAGCTTTTTAGCTTTTTAGAGCTTTTTTAAAACGCGAAAAAAGGGGCGCTAATGGGCATGATGCGGAAAAAAAGGTGCGCAAATGTCCGGGTGCGCAAAAAAAAGGTCGCATTTGTCCCACTCCCTTGGAAATAGCTTTTGAACTGTTTTGCTTTAATTTTAGCTTTAAAAAGTGATTTGTAAAATTGAAAATTGAAAACTTAAAAAAGAAAGCATTCCTCTAATTAAATAAAGCTCCATTTTTGTTCATATAATATTCAAAATAACGTTTTAATACTTTCCGATTTAACCGGAAAGATTGGCGATGATTTGAACTTGAAAACTCATTGAAATCGACTATCCAACCTTGCAACCCTCGTTCTTAAAAAAGGGAAATTTGAAAAACACGTAGTCGTATTAAACGTAATATTTCGAAATCAAGCAATATTTTGTCTTATTTTTCAAATCACACCAATTCCACCAATTCCAGAGTGCGATGCTCGGAAAACTGTGGGCTTTTTTGTCAATTCTCGTCATTTTTTGTCTTTTTACCTCATCTTTCGGTTATTCACGCTTCGGACAAATGCGGCAACCAACACCGCCACCACAGTAAGATTTTTCGAGTATTTTCGAGCAAATCCTAGCCAAGCAAATCCTAGCCAAGCAAATCCTAGCAAAGCAAATCCTAGCAAGGCAAATCCTAGCAAAGCAAACCCTAGCAAAGCAAGCCCTAGCAAAGCAAATCCTAGCAAAGCAAATCCTAGCAAAGCAAAGCCTAGCAGAGCAAATCCTAGCAAAACAAATCCTAGCAAGGCAAATCCAAGCAAAGCAAATCCTACCAAAGCAAATCCAAGCAAAGCAAATCCTACCAAAGCAAATCCTAGCAAACCAAATCCTATTCAAATCCTAGCAAACCAAAGAAATATTGCGTTTGAATGAAATTTCAGAATCTTTTAGCATGAGAAATCGGTGACCACCGGAGAATTAATTTGCATTCAAAGTTTCATAACTCTCTTCAAAGTCAATATTTTTTTCAAATAGTTTCTAGATAAATGATCCTCAAACATTTCTCTTCATTTTGATCCCTAATTTAAGTAAATCGATTGCCTGTGAACGTTTTTAGACGATCCGGAAGGGAAATAACTTAGGCAAAAATACAAAAAAAACCTTAAAAAGAATAAACATCTAAACGTTGGCTAATTTTTGACTATTTTCTTTTTCAATCGAAATATTGGTCCGCGTTTAACCACGTTTAAATTGAAAATTGTTTTTTAAGAGAAGATATAATCTAAGAAACCTACCTGCTTCAGAATTCGAATTAACAAAATCGGTTTTTGAAAGGTAGAATAGAAAGATAGAGTAGAAAGATAGAATCGAAAAATAGAAAGATCGTAGCTTGGGATAGAAAATGTTTACATACTAACTATAAGACTGCATATCTTTACTTTCAGTAAAAAATTAGAAAAGCTCTTTAGTAGAGATCTTGAAGTATCAGCGTTATCACTTACAAGGGAATGTCAACTGACCGAACCGACCAAATCCTTTGCAACCTATACCATTTGACGAAAAAGAACACTAGTCAGCACTTCTTGAAAAAAACAAATGAAAAATCCGAAACTGCGAGGTCTCGCTCTGGAAACGAACGCTGTGCCACTCGGCCACGACTGCACAGGATTCGGTCCCCAGGCAGGCCGCTAAGCCCCCCGCTAAGACCCCCGCTAAGACCCAAATGACCACATTTTCAGAGTCCTAACAAAACTTTAGACTCTTATAACTTCTGGCAGATTGTCATTTAGCAAAAACGGAATATATTCGGAATCAGGATCAAATTCTGCGTCGAATGGTATAGGTCACATAGCATTTCGCCGGTTTAGCCAGTCGATCGAGTCAGATTTTAAAATGATCAAGTCGTCAACCTTGCAACTCCATTAAGCTAAACTTATAAAACTCCCAAAAGGTAGATTTGAATGAAAATTTTTAAAGTAGACACTATCAAACGAGGAAAAGCAATCGGATTTTAAACCGATTGAAACATTGAACATTGAAAGATTGCTTTGAGAACCAACTTTACATCTAAAAAGCCTTAAAAGAAGGCTTTAACTTCAACATTTTCCAAGATTTTTCATTAAATAAAAACTTGAACTTTCAGAAAATCGATTAATCAACAAATCTTGGAGGGCAGTGGGATACGGTATCACGGCCGATTTCGGTGAGTGATTTGAAGGGAATTTGAACTGCTTGATAGCTTGAATTAGCAAGAAAATTGTAAGCTTTAGTTGATTTCAGTACTACTGGGTTGGTGAATTGAAAACTGCGGGACTTTGAACTAAAATTTATTCAACATAAAACCATCAATTCATTCCAAATAATTTCCATTATTATTGACGACTTCTGCCCATTTTATAGGCAATTTGCGGATTCCTCTTTCGTAGTAGGATTTTGGTTTGTGTGTGAGACAAGTGTGAGACTCAAAAATGGAGGACTGGAGCTGTCCCAGTTTGAGCACTTTCTTCAAAAGAAACCCATTTTGGTGTCAATAGAAAAGTTGTAGAGAATCAAAAATTAGGCTTATAGCCAAATTTTCAAAAAGATACACTTAGTAGTTTCGTTTAAAAGGCAAGTTTTGTGAAAATTCGTAAATTTGAGCATTTCTTGAAAACCAGTTTTTGAATCGTTCTGAAAATTTGGATATAAGCTTGATTTTTGATTCTCTACAACTTTTCCATTGACACCAAAATGGGTTTCTTTTGAAGAAAGTGCTCAAACTGTCACACATGACAATAGCCCGCAGTTTTCAATTCACCAACCCAAAGATTGGACAGCCTGATTGAGGAGAAGTCAATGTCTAATTTGAGGATTCGAAGCCGTCTAGATTAGTTTGGCAAAGGGAGAGGGAGGGGGGTCATGTAAAAGCCCTGCGCCAGACGACGAGCGATTACGCGGCCGCACAAAGAACACACAGAACACGCAAATTTTAAGCGAAACTACTAAGTGTATCTTTTTGGAATGGATATAGCTTTATTTTTGATTCTCTACAACTTTCCATTGACACCAAAATGGGTTTCTTTTGAAAAAAGCGCTCACACTGTCACATATGACAAGCCGGAAGTTTTCAATTCACCAACCCAATAGATTGAAATCTATCTTTGAAATTTTCAGTTCCGGTGCCGACGACAACCTCTATCGATACTTGAATAACCTGTAAACTTTTAAATTTTCAAAAATTTAAGCCTTATCATTTGAATTTATTTTCTAAATGAATAAGAAAAAAAGCTTATTTACACTTTATTTTCCAAAAAATGCATCACAAAAATGGACAAAAATGGACGAGATTTTCAAAGGGAATTGAAAGACGTTGAATATCACAGAAAAAATAAAACTCTTGAGGTGGGAAAGGATAATTTCGATGTAAAAGATTATCGAGCACTATTGTATACAGTATTTTTGTGGATTGGGTAAAGATTATGGGAGGTTTTTTTAAAAGGGTTTTTTGTTAGAGCTTTAAGAAGTGTAGACACGTTCCGCGAACGGCCCAGCAAAATTGAGTCCAATCGCTTTTGCGCCACATCTCGACGCAAATCTGGAATTCGAAGAGGGTTTTCAGATTTATAATTGTCTATGTAATCTATGCAAATATAGAATACAGTAAGTTTTAAGTAGCATTTGTACTTTTGATAGAAACTAGCCGAAAAGCGACGAAAAGCGACGAAAAATGAGAAACGAGAAACGGTCTGACGGCGGGTTTTTCTAGCAGAATGTTTAGAAGGGGAGCAGTCGGGTCTACAACCCACACAATCCGGGCTCGTCTACAACCCACACGATCCGGGTTCGACCCCCCGTAGTGCCACTCAATTGTAATCTATTGATTTTTTTTTTATTGGAAATGACATAACAATAGATTTTAAGGCTTTTTAAAGAAGTTTTAGCTTTATTGGTCAAAACACAAAACAGAAAATAGACAGACAAACCGATATGATTGATCGTATAGACAGACAAACCTATATCATTGATTTTTCAGTTGTATTTGCATTGTTTAAAGCTAAGTTTTTAGATTCACATTGATCCAATTCAGTTTGAAACTTGAAAATTAGTTGGAACCAGGGCAGATCAAAAACTGGTGCGCCACCGGGACTCGAACCCGCGACCTTTCCCATACCGGCATTTCCCATACCCATCACACCACAATGCGCCTGGTCTCCCTCACTCGAGAGGGATTTAACTAATTCCAATGTCTATTTAGGTTCAAAAATTTTCTAGAAATCAAATAATTGAAAGGAAATTTGTTAGCACAATGTTAGCAAATTCAAAACGAAAAATTCATTTTGAAAATTTTCTTTATCGTCAAAACCTTCTCTGACCTCTTTCCCATCAACTTTCTGCTCGACCCGGATCTCTGTGCCGTGATCGGAGAAAACGATCATTTGACCCTAAAAGTTTTCTTTTTTTTTTCTCATTTTCTACATTTTTATGTATCATTTTATCACTTATCTATCAATTTCCCACCTTTTTCTCGCCTTTATTACTCTCAAAACAGTATTCTCCACTTCTTCGCGCATTGAACGTGAACGTCAAATCGGAATCGGTGGCTATTTGTAAAAGGCCAGCTATTGAGGCACCGTCGGCTAGACTGAAAAAAGATTTTCATTCAAATGTACAGCCTATCTATTTACAGTATGTCAAAGCTCTTTTTAATTTAGGTACTCAGCTAATCATGGTGATAGCTGTGGTGGGTACATCTCGAGTAAAGCCTTTTCTAATGCGCAAGCGGATTTTGTGGAGTGACCGAGTGGGTTACGCGTTGGCTTCTAAAACGAGCGGCTCGCAGTCGCAGGTTCGAATCCGGTTAGAGTCAGCACTTTTCAGAAAGCACTCTGATTTATGTATTATTTGATAAAAACTGCTAGCAAAAGTTTACTAAAGATAAAATCAATGTTTTTAATCACTGGAAATCAGCAGGTAAATGGTTATAAAATAAAATGATTGGCTATAATAAATAGCTAAAGAAGCGGGTTTAGAATGAGCATTACTTGGCGTTTTACTTGGCCTTTTACTTGGCCTTTTACTTGGCCTTTTACTTGGCCTTTACTTGGTCTTTTACTTGGCCTTTTACTTGGCCTTTTACTTGGCCTTCTACTTGGTCTTTTACTTGGTCTTTTACTTGGCCTTTTACTTGGTCTTTTACTTGGCCTTTTACTTGGCGTTCTACTTGGCCTTTTACTTGGGGTTTTACTTGGCCTTTTACTTGGCGTTTTACTTGGCGTTCTACTTGGTCTTTTACTTGGTCTTTTACTTGGCCTTTTACTTGGCCTTTACTTGGCCTTTTACTTGGTCTTTTACTTGGCCTTTTACTTGGCGTTTTACTTGACGCTTACCCAAGTAAACAATTACTTCAAAGAATTCAATAAATTTACTCAATAAATTACTTACTTTTACCTTTATATGCTCAAGTAAATACTTCCTTGAGATGTACAGACTAGAGTATGTTCCTCTCGAGTAAGTAATTAACTCGAGTAAGTAAATAACTCGAGTAAAATTTGCATCAGTAAATTCTACTCGATTAATCGACGTTTTTTTGGTCGAGTAACTACGAGTAATCCTCTTTACACGTCGAGTAAATTGAATATCTTTACATGTGAAGGGAATTTCCCAGCAACTCACTTAAAGGACTGAATATCTTTAAAAAGAGTCGTATATAAGTCGTCGATCGTAATTTTTTGCGCCAATTTTTTACAATAATTTTCTCTAAAAGTACGGTAATTTTTCTTAAGTGGGCGTTTTAAAAACGCATTACTCGTGAGGAACACACTCTAGTAAACACTCTAGCTATGAAAGTAAAGCTGTAAAGGCACTGATTTTCACGAAAATTTTCCTGAAAAAAGAAAAACTTAGCCGAAATGACTGAATATCTTTTGCCTCTGAGATTTATCACACTAAGAATTCTACATTTATCACACTCTAGCTGTGAAAGATAAGAATTAAAGATACTCAATTTAAGTACCTGAAATCGGGAGAGGCTAAATTTGTGGGAAATGAGGCGTCCGAGGAATGATCCGAGTTTTTGCAGGACTGAAAAAGGGTAATTGATTGAGTTACAAATATTTTTATTTAGATTTTCAATATTTAAATGCTATCTAGAGTAGATTCACCTCTAATTTAGATAACAATAGGGTTTCGATGATGTTGAGATTCTCGGATTCGTCTGCTTTCACTAGGCCTTCTCGAAGCTAGAAAATTAAGTGAATATCTAGGGATAATAAATAAAATATCACTATTTTTTTGTAATATTTATATAATCATACCTCTGGTGGACTTGTTGATGCCATATTTGTCGCTTGTTGGATGAGATTTTGAAGGAATTCATCTTGAGCCGCGTTCACTGAATTTTCCTTCAATTTTGACGTCTTTTAAGGCTAATTAAGGTTAATTGTTTCAAAGATTTGCTTGAAAAATGTCTGAAAATGTGAGCTTTCACTAAGAAATGTTCATAGAAAGATCATAGAAACTAACCTCCAATAGTTGCAGTGGCTGTAGGTGTTGATGGGAGAAGAAGGGTTGGATCGAAATGCTTCCAGAGTAATTGCGGAAGAGAGAAACCACGAGAAAAGATAGAATCACTTGAAGAAGGGAGACTCTAAAAATGGGAATGATGGAGAGTGAAAGAAGTTTGGAAACGGAAGATTTTGAAGAGTTTCCATTTTGGATAAAGCTTTATAATTATAGCTATTGGGTTGGTGAATTGAAAATTGCCATTGTCATATGTGACAGTTTGAGCATTTTCTTCAAAAGAAACCCATTTCGGTGTCAATGGAAAAGTTGTAGAGAATCAAAAATCAAGCTTATATCCAAATTTTCAGAACGATTCAAAAAACTGGTTTTCAAGAAATGCCAAATTTACGAATTTTCACAAAACTTGCATTTTAAGCGAAACTACCCAGTGTATCTTTTTGGAAATTTGGCTATAAGCCTCATTTTTGATTCTCTACAACTTTTCTATTGACACCAAAATGGGTTTCTTTTGAAGAAAGTGCTCAAACCGGGACATCTCCAGTCCTCTATTTTTGAGTCTCATACTTGTCTCACACACTTGTACTGCTGCGAGTAAGTCTTCTATTGGAGACTGGTCTTCTATTAGAAATTTTACGGTAGTTATCTCCTTTTCCTAATGAAATTTGTATCGTGTTAACAGTTTAGTTTAGTTAAACGCATCAACTTAGATTGAATAAGAGTTATTCTCTGAATTCCTGAAGATTCATTTCCTTACCCTCATCGGTTCCGATCGTTTCCTTGGGGCATAATTGGGTGGAGCTTGTTGATTGATTTTCTCTTCGCATAGTGCCCAGAGACCTGAAATTAAACAGTGCTTGCGGGCAAGAATTCATGTTTTTTAAAACTTTTTTGGCAACTATTTTGTAGATGTTTTAGACATAGCACTACAAAATACAAACGTAAACTACAAGCGTAAACTACAAATGCTTCTAATTTGCCACAAATCTGTCGGGTTGATATGATCTATAGCTCAAAAGATAAAGAATCTCAAGAGCTTTTTGAATGAGCTAAGGTACACTCAAAAATATTAATTCTAAAGAAAGTTACTGTGCTCGAAACGGATCGTACTCACGCGTAGTCAGGCTACAAGCCACTGTAACTTTCTTTAGAATTAATATTTTTGAGTATGCTTTAGTTCATTCAAAAGCTCTTGAAATGCTCTATCTTTTAAGCTATAGACCATATCAACCCAACAGATTTGACGCAAGTTAGAAGCATTTGTAATGTGATAGTTCGTAATTTTTGTTGATGGTGTTGTTGATGAAAACTATCGATCTTGTCCTTGATTATATTTTGATCCTTGATTATTTTTTGCGGATTTTTATCTCAAACTCACCGCCAGCTCCAGTATCATGTTTCCTTTTCAAATGAAATTTCATCGTCGTCGGACTTCGATCATTTGTGACCCAATGACAGAAACGACATCTCACACCGGCCAAGCCATGCACGCGGAGATCCGTGAAAAACTCCCAAACCTGAAAAGTATAGAGTTTATTCAAGGCAAGTATAGAATTACATTTGTTATCAATAGAAAAAAAAGTACATTAGCTAGTTACGAAATAATTAACAAATGAAAGCGAAAGTTCTGGGTGAGTTCTTTGAAACCGAACTTTTTTCTACTAAAATTGCCAAATTGCTTATAATAAAAACTTGAATTTGTCTAATAATTTTTTAAAGACCAAATGGACCCACTGGATTGCTCTTTTTCCTCCCGGCGTTCCTCGGATTCGGCACATTTGGTGCTGGTACCAGGGTGGACATTCTGAGAATTTTCTTTCAAACAAATTTCGCTATGAAATAAGAATAAGAAAAACAATTAAAAAATCTGCTTTAAAAGAAAGAGACAAGAATCAATCAAATAATAGCAAACTTTGAGCTGAGTCGAAAAAAAGCTACCGTAAATACTGTAATAGTACCCCACCGCCCTCGTACAGTCGCGTAGTCGCAAAAGTTTTTTAGTATTTCATTTTTTCAAAGCACCCGTACTTTCAAAAAATGCGTCTTTGGTATCAAAAAATAGCCCTGAATTTCAGCTATTTTATTGATACATAAGCGCGCATTGTAGCATAAACCAGTGTCGAGAAAAACTCGTTCAAAGCTAGACTACGCAACACTCCGCACCGTCATTATGGGGGTGGGGTACTATTACAGTATTTACGGTAGGTACTCATTGTCTAAAACAAGTAAGAATTGAATAAACTTTTGATAATAATCAATTTACTGGGAATTTGTAAAGTGAAGAATATTTGCAAGAATGTAACTCCAGTTTGAATATCAGAATGGATCTCATAATCTCATAACTGACAACGATAGAATAACGAAGAAATTGACAAGATTAAGATTTAAGAATGTAGAAAAAGATAGGAACTTTCTAAAGAAGACGTTTTTTGAGCCTTTTTCAACTTTGAAACTTGAGAACTGAAGTTTCAAAAGCTTCAGAAGTTTCAGAAGCTTCAGAAGTTTCAACTTTGTTTAAATTGAGTAAAATTTACAGCTGAATTCTAGAGTTTCATTCAAAAACCAAAGAAAAAAAAGAAAAGAAAAAGAAAAGTTAGAAAAAAGAAGCGAAAAAGCGTTCTCCAAGTTGTAAAATGAACGATAGAGGTGTCCAAGTTTACAAAAAAAAACTAAACGCTAATTATTTTCATAAACTAACAAGCAAAGCTATCTAAAATCTGGGTAAAAGAATCATTTTTGATTACTTGGTGAATGTGTTTTCTGTTTTCTGAGTTTTCTGAGACTTGTCTAGGAAAAAAGGGGGCAGAAAGTGGAATTCGAGTCTTTTTGGATGAGTGAAACCTATTCGATAAAACGAACGAAGAAAAGCTGTAAAAGGAAAAGCAAATGGCAGAGCTGGCAAGAGGGGGAAAAAAACCGAAAACTGAAAATAGGCTTTCAGGCGACATTTTGTGCTGACTGCCCTTGGGGGAAAAAGGAGGAAAAATGGAAAATGGAAGGAGACGGGGGTGTTCGTTTTGTGAGACTTGTGGGTAAAAGGCGGAGAAGTTTTCGATGGGTTAGAAAAGGTGAAATTGGGCAAAAAAAAAACAGGCTCTCTTCAGGGTGATGGTTTTTTTGAAAGGAAAGATCTCATGCCAAAATATAAAAAGAAGCTCTTTTTTTGCTGCTGCTGTGAAATGGCAGAATTGAAATTAGACTCGAGGATTTTTGAGACACAGCTGAATGATCATTCATTCAGCTGTGTCTGGTGGAACCGAAAGGTGAACAAGAATTGTAATATTGATATAAATGCAAAGAAAAGAGGAGAATAATGAAAGCTTTGTAATCGATCTGAATTCGGAGTTCCAAAAAAAGATTTGTGATCAACGTTGAAATCAACTTTAAGGCTTTGCTTCTCGTTTAACATGGTCTAGTTCGGCTTTACTGCAAGGCTAGCCCTAAGCCAGGCCTGGTTCTGGCTTACATTCTGGCTCTACCAGTCTTACAAGCCCTAGAACCCTCTAGCCTCTAGCCTTAGAACACCTCTAGCCCAAATCATTCAAGCTAATTTGATTTCAAAAGATTTCTAGAAACTCCAATCTAGACTTTGAAATCATGGTTATTCGATTGAATCTAACTATAAGAATCCAAATAAATTCCAAGGTTTGATAACTCTCTGATTAGGCTTGTTTCTAGTACTTTGGTATATTTGATATCTCCCATCTCCCATATATAATTTTGAAATGTTAGTCCGTCGGAGCTCTAGCGGCCGCAGGAGTAAGTCTTTCGGAAAACGGCCGAGATACGCGCCCCCCGAGGTATATACCCCGAGATACGTACCGCATAACGTAACGTAACGTAACGCAATGGCAGAGTGGTTAGCGCGCTTGCACCGAGTGCAAGAGAGTGCAAGAGAGTGCAATATTTGACTGCAATATCCCAACTGCTCCAATAAGCTTCCAATAAGGTCCGAATCCGTCTGCAGTCAAATATTTTGTTTTTTCACCAAAAGCTCAAATATAATAGAAATAACTTTTTTGAGCAAAAAGGAGTGTCTCCAATTTTACGCCGGGCTGAACTATGCTCTGTTTCCAAACCACAAGCGGAAAAACCTGGTGCAGGCGGGTTTCCCTCTGGTATATTTGCATATTATTTGATATATTTATCTAGACACAAAAAACTGAAAACGGTAAATAATTGAGAGGTAGGTTGTTCTAGCTAACAGCTAGCTAACATCTTAGATAAAAGAAAATGATGCAGACAGGTCGAAAAGTTAGATTCTGGGAAAAAAAAAATGACTCAACTCTGTGACATCATCAATGAGATGAAGGGAAACGAGTTTCGAGGAAAGCGACAGAGACAAAGCGATAAAATTGCTGAAACTTAAAACTGTCATTTAAGCATGAACTTAAATTGGAACGAAACTCGTGAAAGTGAGCCAGTCTTTCGCTCAAAATTCGGAATGAAACTGTCGAAATTGGGGTTGAGCTAAGGGATTTCTATTCATTTCAATGACATTTTCGAGTTGACACAGAAAAAGTTTCAAAAGCAATTCGGAAACTTCCCTAAAAACCAGTCTCGATTTCGACGAGATTCACTCTCTTCTAATTAGGCCAGCGAACTGACTTGACTGAAAAGGATTTTGTAAAGTAAAGAAAAGGAAAAGAAAAGTATTCCCATGGTTAAAGATTGAGAATTTTGAATCTTAAGGTAAAACTTTGGATAAATTTTACCAAAAAGAATTATTACCATAAGATTGGCTGCATTTTTCAGAGACGTTAGTTAGTTTTCACGTTAGTTTTTCTTCAAGCCATTGATAGATAATCTTCAAGCCATTGATAGATACTGATCGTAATTCTTCTTTTAGAATGACACCTTAAGAAGGTAAGAAGAATTAAGAATTCTAGAAGAAAAACTTTTTAGACTTTTTTGTAGGTGATTCTAGAAGAATTAAGGTTGATTGGATGAACAATTTAGCATTTATTTTGCGTTTAAATTTTTAAAAACATCTTTATAAATCGAAATTCTAAAATTCTAAAATTCTACAAGAACCAAAGAACTTTTTAGCCTTTTTTTTAAGTCAGTTTTTTCGAGTTCTGAAAACTGTGATCATCGAAATTGGATATCGAATTCTCGGGAATTGCTTTCTTTGAAGCAACCTCGATCCTGTATTTTGTGAAAAGAAAATTGAGGGAATTCTCGAAGAAAGAAAAGGGTCACTTTCCGAAAAGAAAAAGGAAAATGGAAAATGGAGAAAAAAAGGATCGGGATTGGGATTGGGGCGTAATTTGGAAACCTTTTCTGGAAAAGAGATCCCATTTATTGAAGTCATTTCTGTAGGGGGGAAAGGGGGAAAGAGCGATTGTCCCATATAGAGTGAAAGGTATGCAAAAAAAGATCGGGATATTCAATTTTACCGTCATCTAATTAAAATATTCAGTTTTTCGGGTTTTCTAAGAAATCTGTTTTCAAAAACTATCGTAATTAGACGATTGGTTTACAGTGTTTTCTAAGAAAGGTATAGCAAAGTTTACCCAAGCCTAAGCATAAGCCAGTTAGAAGCTTAGGCATAAGCCAGTTCACCTAAGCCTAAGCATAAGCCAATTAGAAAACACATTAAGCTAAGATTAGCTAAGATTAAACTAACATTAGCTAAGATTTTCCGTTTTAAATTAAGAAGTAAGTTCTTGAATTCGATAGAAAAGATAGAAAAGAACATGTGAAAAAAAAACATTTTTGCACCTCTTGACACTCGATATTTCATCTCAAAAAAGGCTACTGGTTTGCCGTGTCCTATATTTACAGAGTCAAGCACTCTCTTTTTCTTTTCCAGACTTGTCTCTGCTTCAAAAAAAAGCCTTTCCAGGGGTGTCCTGAATTTGGAGCAAGCCAATTTTGGGAATAGTCAAAAATGGAAATGGAAGAGAGGGGAAAACTGGATGGCTGGGTCTATGAACAAAAAAATGTTTCAAATTTTATTCAAGAGGCGAAAAAACTTGTTTGCCAACCAAATGAAATCGAAAAAATAGAAATACAAAATAGAAATCGACTCTTGATATAGCGATTCTGTCGGGACCGCGAAATGGCATCGTTATATCGAAAAATCGTTATATAGAAGTCGAAAAGCCAAGGCTTTAAATCCAAATCGTTATATCAAAAATCTTTATATCGAAAATCGTTATAACAAAGTAAAAAATAGGCTTTTAACCTAAATTGTTATATCGTTAGTTACAATAAACCGTTTATCAACAAAAACGAACATAACAAAACGTCAAACTCTCTCAAAATTTAGCAAAAAACTCTGTAACGTGAGCTTATTTTTAACCAAAAAGATCCCTCATCAAAAATCAAATCAAGAACAGTTAAGGCAAACTTTTGAATCGTCTTTTCTTCTTGTATAGGTTTGAAACTTTTGAAAACATTGATAAACTTGGCGCCGTGAAATCGTTTGCTCTGATTCCGCCAACTCGACTTTTCACTTTCTTGGCTTCTCGGAGTATTTTATGGAAACAACGATTTTAAACAATGTTCGAACACTTGTAGCTGAAGTAGTATCATCGGCAGATATAATCAAGTACATTCGTGTTATATGACGATTTTTTAAAATCTCTGTTACATTAACTTTTGATTTGTTACAACAATTTTGTGACTAAAACGTGGATACCGTATTCTCTCTAATAGTAGTGTGCACTACCCCTTTTTCAACGCCCTCCTGGGCCGGAATACTATTAGAGAGTGCACTACTATTAGAGAGAATACGTATCCACGTTTTAGTCACAAAATTGTTGTAACAAATCAAAAGTTAATGTAACAGAGATTTTAAAAAATCGTCATATCGAGAGTCGACTGTATTTAGCATTTAAAAGCTACAGATGAAAAATAAAAACAATTGCATAATGAAAAATATGCGATCAGCAGCTAAAGTTTTAAATAAAGCTAACACTAAAAAAGGGCTTCAAAATTGGTTCATTCCTTAAATCAAGAAATTCTAGGGAATGATTCAAAACTTCCCAGCAAATCAGGTTTTTCAAATAGTGACTCTAAAATGCAAAACAGTTTCCAGCAATGGGGGATGAGTGGAAAATATGGAGAGCTAGGGAAGGGGTTCAATTCCAGATCTTCCCCATTCTGAAATCTTTTCTTTGAAAGAAATCCTCAATTGCTCCTTCTTTTCCTTATTTCTTTCCCTTTCAGTCATTCTCTCAGCATGTCTCTTCTATTCGACTCCGCCTTTTCCTTCAAATATTTCTATCGGTGGGATTTTGAATTTTTGAATCACTTTTGGCATGAATTTTGATAGAATTGCTTGAATTGCTTGAATTGCTAGGCTTAAAATTAGAAAAGATCTCTAACTAGGTAGACAGTTAACTAAAGATTTAGAGTCTCAAAAGCAGAGACTCTTGAAACATAAAAAAATAGCAAAAGACTTGAAGCTGAAAATTAAAAAAAAAAAACTAAAAAACCCTTGTCTAACTTTACTGACTTCACAAAGAACGCCCAAACGGCTTCAAGAGCTTGATAAGACAAAAGTGACCATAAAATACATAAGTATCTCAACAACAACGAGAGAACTTCAACTTGACCATAATCAGATAGGAAATTGCAGCAATAAGCTATGATTTCAAGCAACGACCTGAAATTGATTCAAGGCGAGTTGCAAAAGGAAAATGGATGTGAGGGCCTTTGAGGCTCTTGTTGGGGCTGTGGGTATCGATCGGCCTGAAAGCCATTTTGGGGCAACCAGGCCACATTCTGGGCGTGGTCGGGGGCGTTCTTTTAGCCCTTACAAATGCAAATCCTGGGGCGGAGGCAGAGAAATGCCCCTCTCGGGCGCATAACTTCACATGGGGCCAATCTATGTTAATAAAGTCAAGTAAGGAATAGCAAGGAAAGATTTCCGGAGAGGGATTGAACCCTCGACCTTTTTGTGGGAGCCTTCGAAATAGGTGCCAACGTAGTAGCCGATATTTGGCTTGGATTCATTGCGTCTACACGCTCGTTTATAGCACACCCACGTCCTATCACCACTCCCAACTGCTCCAATAAGCTTCATGTCATCCAAGTCACACCGCGGGCATGTTCTTTTACTTTGGCGGAAACCAAGACTGGCTAACCAATCTTCAAACCGATCATCGGGAAGCCAGAGCTTCTGCAAAAGTTCAAGCAAATTGCGGTCTTTAAGCACATTCAAGCAGCGCTATTCACTGCAGAAAATGAATAATGTACATTTTTTTACGCTTTGCGCTGTTTTATAGAACTCTTAGCTGAATATTTGGTACTTGTGGAGTATCCGGGGGGGTAAAATTTTAAGATCCGGGGGGTAAAATTTTATATACGTTATATACGACCCCTTTTAAAGATATTCAGCCGCTTAAGTGATTTGGTGGCAAATTCCCTTCAAATGTAAAGATATTCAATTTATTGAGGTTACTTGATTACGTGATTCGAGGTGATACTCGATCAAAAACGTAACTTCTACAAAAAATTTTTATGTCATTATTAGAAATGTTGATAATATCCTAGTTGGCGGCAAACATTTTCACACTAAATTGATGAAATTCTATTTAAAACGCTAAAATTAACGCAAAATGATATAAGTTTAAAGGTTTAAGTTTAAAGGTTTAACAAAAGGTTAAACATTTGCCTCAAGAATTTCATTTTTAGTTACAAAGCCTATGGTAAATGTAAAATTTCACGGAATTTGCGTTAATCTATTGATCTTTAGACCATTAATCAGATCATGAGCAATATTTTCGTTCTTCTTTTAAACTCTGAAAGCGATAGGTGCAAAAGATTGATAAAAGTAGCAGAATGGTCAAAAAGTTAAAAAAAGTATAAAAAAGTTAAAATTTTACCCCCCCGGATCCTAAAATTTACCCCCCGGATACTCCACAAGTACCGAATATTTTGATTTTCGCATTTAAAATCGTACTTAAAAGAAAAATTTTCAAAAAAGTAAAAAAATTTTTCGTTTCGAGCTCTGATTTTGTTTTATTTTGACTCAGCATGTTCGAAAACATAGAAAAAAAACTCAAATCCGCAAAGATTTAGCTGGGGTCGATCAACTGTAATAGCGCCCGTATTTCTCATAGACTCACGAGTCAAATTAAAATATAGGCAGGCTTGAAAGGAAGACAGGAACAGTTAATAAGCCAGATAAACTTAGCGATAACGCCATGAGACGAAAGAGAAGTACAGTTTTTCTAATCGGAACAGTTATGTATTTCTAGTTTAAAGGCTATTTTGGTTTATTTGATGCACATATTTGTGTCCACAATGCCTTTCTGGATTGAAAATCTTGAATGGTTGAGTAGAAAACGTCCTAAACGCGCTTTTGAGACGCTGGGATTCTTTCTTGTCGATCTTGGCCTGCATAATAGTAGAAATCCGGTACATCACAATAAGTTTGACACTTTTTGGCTACATATCAATATGATAAACTTTAAAAAGCAATCAAAAAACAAAATCAAATTCCACTGCCGTGGGATTTACAGTGCGAAAAGCAAAACAATGCACCATAAAATCGGGTAAAAACTCATGATACAAAATTTTGATTTATTAATTGAATACCTTGAGTAAGAAAATTTTGTCTATTTAAAAGAGTTTTGCTAGTTTGATTTCATTTTGCGAAAGTTCGCGTTTATGCCACGTTTCTAGGATTCCCTTTGGATCTACCCTAAAGTTTTTGCTTTTTCAGCTATTCTACCCAAAATCTACCCAAATTTGCACTGCATAGGCATCAATGCTTGTTATTTTGAGTGTAATCATTAGTGATTTCATTGCTAAATGCTGCAAAATCTTTCGATTGCCCCATTGCCTTGACCAACGAACATTGGAGGGTTCCTTTTCCCGTAAACAAGAGTCCCTACTCTTTGGGAGAGGTGGCAGATTGTGGAAAAGAAAAAAAAGATAGCGAGGGTATTGAGCGTTTCGCGTTTCTCTCAGCCCTCTCCATCTCGCCACTTCTCTCATCGGCCCGACCTTGACTTGTTGTGTATTCTGTTCCGTTCTTTATCAAAATTGTTTTGTTTATAACTTTCGTCAATGTTTTCAAATTGCCATCCCTGGTTAATTCTTAACTTTTTAGAATGGTTGCACCAATTCGCGCGCTTGTGACTGGAGCTGCGGGACAGATTGGTTACTCGCTCGTCATCGAAATTGCCAAGGTAAAGCTTTGTTTAATAAAACTTTAAGATTTAAAAAGTAAAGCTATGTACACTTATTGATAAAGCATAAAAAACCGCTTTAATTTCTTTTGGCACTAGCATTTAACCATGGTGGGTAAATGTTGGCTCAAATTTTAGAAGAAAAGCCAAGTTTAGCAGCGTTATACAACGGAGTAAACTTTAAAAGCCCAACTAAATTTTTCGTTTAGGGAGATGTCTTCGGTCCAGAACAACCCGTCGAGCTCGTCATGCTCGATTTGCCCTTCTGCGCTCAATCGTTGGACGGAGTGAAGATGGAACTTCAAGATTGTGCCTTACCTACGCTTGTTGGTAAGTATGGATTATGAATCGTGAAATGTATGACCAGTCACGACTGATAGATTTTGACTGATACACAACGCGTGATATATTTTGCCATTGTTGGAAAATGTTGAAGAAAGCATGAGAAACCTTTGATACAGCCAGTAAAAGATTTAAGATCTAAATCAAAGTTTTGGTCTCACTACCAGTACCACGATAATCTAATCATCGTTAGTGCATACAATAATTTTTTTTAGGTGTCGAAGCATTGACTGACGAGGCGGCGGCCTTCAAGAACATCGACTACGCCTTTTTGGTCGGTGCGATGCCACGCAGAGAAGGAATGGAACGCAAAGATCTTTTGGCAGCCAACGTGAAAATCTTCAAAAGTCAAGGGAAATCACTGGCCGAGCACGCTAAGCCAACCACAAAGGTAAGATTTAAGTGTTGATCATGTATTAATTAAAAATTTTAGGTGATTGTTGTTGGAAATCCAGCCAACACCAATGCTTTCATCTGCGCCAAGTATGCTGCTCCAAAGATTCCAGCTGAGAACTTCTCTGCAATGACACGATTGGATCACAACCGCGCTTTGGCTCAGGTTAATTTATTGTGTTTTTGTCTACAAAAAGGAACTTTTAGGTTGCCGCAAAAGCTGGAGTGACGATTGGAGCCGTGAAGAACGTGATCATTTGGGGTAACCACTCATCCACACAATTCCCTGATGTACGACACGCTAAGGTTACAAAAGGTAAGTGGCAACTTAATTTGTGTACAAACCCATAGTGAGATGCTTTGCGATTTGTAACGACATAAGGATGAAGATTTGCACTTTAGATGGCAAAGAAGTTGACGCGTACACAGCGGTGAACGACAACGCCTTCTTGCAAGGAGAATTTATCTCAGTAAGTCCTTCAATGAGGGGATCTTTGTAAAATGCTTTTTTAGATTGTCCAAAAGCGTGGTGCTGCCATTATTGAACGCCGCAAATTCTCTTCTGCCATGTCGGCTGCTAAAGCAGGTATAGTTAGTTAAAGCGTTTACTTATTTTATGTTTCTTAGCTTGTGATCACATCAGGGATTGGCATGTCGGAACTCAGCCGGTAAGTTTTTGCTGTGGAACATTTAACTGTCTCTTTTGATTATGGCGCTACTTCTAATTTTAGGGACAATTCATCTCAATGGCCGTCCCGTCCGATGGAAGTTACGGAGTTCCCCAAGGATTGATCTTCTCATTCCCTGTTCAGGTAGAGCTTTTTAGAGTACACTATGTTTAAATGCCTAAATAACGTCCTAATAGATTTGTTTAGATTTGCCCTGACACGAAGAAATGGAAAATTGTGCAAGGACTGGAGCTTGATGAGTTCGCTAAAGGAAAGATCGACGTCACTACAAAGGTACATTGACTTCTTCAAATGCTTGCTAATCAATTATTTTAAGGAGCTCATTGAGGAACGTGACGAGGCTCTCAAGGCGTGCGAAGAGGCAAATATGTAATTATTTTAAACTTAAAGTTCGACTTTAAATTGTGATTTAAGTTTAGTTTCACATTGCCCTTAACTGGTAGTCATTTTCTTGTGATTAATTGATAGGTTTTTTGATAGCTGTAGAGTCTGTAATTGCTACTTTGTGATCTTATCGGGGAAATAAATTTTTTAATGAATTATTAGAAACGCTCAAGCTCTTGTTATTTACAAAACTTACTTCGTCAAATGGATGGAATGAAAATGATTTTTCAAAGAATAGTTACTTCTGTGTCAAAATCAACTTTTCAATCAGGGAATCATTGGAAATCGCCATTTGGTTTCCTTTTTTTTTCTGAGATGTCCCTGTATGAAAGTGGATCTTTGGGGAGATTCCGTCCTTTTCTCGCGAATCCCCTTCCCCTCCCAGTCTGACCTACTTGTGACTGCCCGAGGCGGCTCTTTGACCCGCGTCCTCGATATCTACATCCATCCTTCGATGAAAAGACCTGTGTCTTTTACACTGTTTTTCTTATGGATTTTTAGCAATATTTTCTTACTTCATTAGGGTCATTCTTCGTGGATTCTTCTATTTACTAACTGTAAATGATGCGAGATACCTTGTTGAATCCTGCTGCTAACAAGCAAGCAAGGGTCGCCGCTTTTAAGCTGATGGAGCAGACCAGGACCGTTTAGGCTTTGTTAAAATATCCAGACAGTCTATTAACCTTCTTAACGTGCAGGCTAGTTTTTAAGAACCAAATACTTTTTAATTCACAAATAATTGAATTTCTCTTGCATTCACTCAAAAAATCAAGTGGCCTTGAAAGTTTGCAGTTCAGCAATTACGACGTTTCGAGAACATTCTTTTCTTCCCAATTCTTCACTGATGATGCAACAACATTAATAAAAAGCTGCTTTGTTTGAGCAAATATCGATGGCACAGGTTCCACCATGGCAGTCGTTTATGGCCGCTTGTAGTGCAGGGGAGAAAAGGAAAGGAAGGAGGCTGGTATGCACGAGAAGAAATCCCAGTCATTCCCTACCCTTCCCTTCACCATCCCAATCATCATCATTTTGCCGCTATTTCTCTCACTTTTTTCCATGTCTCCCTTTTTTGCCCTGTGAGTGGTCAAAATGAGTAGGTGGGGGCTAGCCACAAGCCGCCGATTCGGCTCATCCAAATTGTCGATCCTTTTGTGCTTCCAGAGAATTCTTTCCTTGTAGGGTTTACCGTATTTCCTTTATTAGAAGGAACGCTCTTTCTAATAGAGTATTCCTTTCGAATCCCATTTAAGTGTCATAAGCAGAATATCATCAAACTGTTTTACTTTCTGGATTGGTTACACAAGTACCATTTCCATAGACATTTGCAGAAGTTATGTTTCTGATAGAAGTTAATGGTTTAAAAGTGCTCTGATGAAACTGCCTCTTCTAATTAACAAAATACAATTGTTTTTAAAGTTTTTCGATCTGTAATCTTTTCTTCACATGTTGATTTTTCTCCTTATCATCATCAACATTTCGAGTTTCAGGTAAACACTGATTCCTCAAATCGAAATGAGGATCGTTTTGCTGCTGCTCTCCCTTTGCACGATTGGATTGGCAAGTAAAAAGTTGGTTTACTGCAAAATAACATCATTTTAAATGTACTGTCCATTTTAGTAGCAAATATTTGGTGAAGATCAATGAGACGAATTGGGACCAAATTATGCGAGGAGAATGGATGGTCGAATTGTGAGTTTTAAAAAAGACTAAAACCCTAGAATTAGGGCTAGTTTATTTTAGCATGACTTGGGTATGCAGGGTTTAAAGTTAAAAATTTGGAAAATGTTACAGTGCTCTTTTCGTTTAATTCAATTAATTAAAGTCAAGAAAAGTAAAGACTTTAATTAAAGTCATTCCTTGTAGATTGGGTTGAAAGCTCGAGAAGGTTGAAGACAATCTTTTCTTTTTCTCCTTTTGTTCCCCAAGGCGAATCCTTGCTTTTTTTCTATTCATAGAGAGTCTCCCCCGTTTTTCTTTTGAGTGAGCTCGTTCCACCCAAGTCGACGGAAAACCTGTTCCCTTTTCTGGATAGGAAAAGAAAAGCTCAAAAATGGTCAAAACTTAAGAAAAACACAGCTAGCCAGTGTCGTTTTAGCGTCTTGGAGATTATGGGATTTAACGATTGAAAAGGGCGGGGAAATGGTGTTGAGAATTTGGGAAAAAGGTTGGCAAGCAATTGATTTCTAGGTTGTGAACTCTTTTCATTGGGTACAAAATTTGGTTTTAGATCAACTGTAAGTACCACAGCTTGATCCAGCTTACTGCCGTAATACCTATAATAACTTACTCTTCTAATTTTGCTAAGACACTCATTTGCACTTCGCTTTGATTTTGGCTTTGATCATATTTAAACAGGGTTTATTTGACGGGATTTTGCAGGGTATTTTATGGGTATTACGATAGATACATATATTTATTTGGTCTATCAGTTTTTTTAGCTCTTCACCTCTCCTTAAATATATCCACGTGTCCCAACTTTCCCCTTCTCTTTCACATTAATTGACCTTGCAGTTCGAGCGAAAATGATAGAGAGAAAGAGAAAGTGATCGGGCTACTTTGAGTTTAGCGGAAATTAGGGGAATTTCATAATCTTTGTTTGAAATTGAAAAATAAAGCAAAAATCATTTTAGCCATGCTCCGTGGTGCCCGGCTTGTAAAGACTTGCAAAAGTCTTGGAACGCTTTTGCCGATTGGAGTCAAGAGCTTGATGTTCAGGTAATGGAGGAATTTGATGACTAAATAAATATAGCGACAAATAGAATACGGTACATTTTGTTTCAAGTAAGCCAAATTTCATGTGTTAGAGAAGCTTATCAATGACAAAAGCTTTCCAGGTCGGAGAAGTCGATGTGACGGTGAACCCAGGACTTTCTGGACGCTTCTTGGTGACAGCATTGCCCACAATCTATCAGTAAGACGAAACAAATTTTACGAAAACTTACAAATATGTAACTAAATTATTTTTTCTAGTTTCTTTAAAGCTTTCAACATATTTGTCCCTTTTCAGCGTGAAAGATGGCGTTTTCCGGCAATATTCTGGACCCCGTGACAAGAACGATTTCATCTCATATGTGGAAGATAAGAGGTGGAAAATAAAGAAATATTCGAATTCGTGTTGTTGGGACTGAATCTTATAAAATCGGTTTCAGATGGAGAAATGTCGAGCCAGTCCCCAGTTACAAACACCCCAACTCTGCCCAGTGAGTTGGATTTTTTAATGAACTAGGGATTTATCTAAACATAATCTAACTCAAAAATGTCAACCCTAATCAAAATTACCTTCTCAAAATGGTAAATCGATTTCCAGAATGGGAGTTGTGGCTGTTTTCTTCAAGCTTTCGATGGCCGTTCGCGATTTGCACAATCATTTGGTTGAGAATAAGGTTTGTGCGAAAAATTATTAAATAAATAGTTAAAAGTCTCAAAATCAGTTATCTAGATTTGAATTTGATCAGAGAAAATCTAAAGCTTGAGAAAGATAAGGCTTTTTAAAATTTAGGGAGTTCCATCGTGGGCATCGTACTCAATGTTCGCACTTGTCACTCTCGCTCTTGGATGCATTCTTGGATTTGTGAGTTATTTGTTTTTAATTTAACTAAAGAGAAACGAAAAATTATTGAGAAAATTATTTTGACGCTTAATTTCAGTTGATCGTGATGGCTATTGACTACTTCTTCCCCACTGGAGCCCGAGCCGCAAAGAAACAGCAACAGAATCAAAAACAACAACACGCTGCCCCAAAAAAGAAAGAAAATGAGGGAGAGAAGAAAAAGGTGAGTACGGAAATGTACACCGTAATTATTCTAATCAAAGACGCACAAAAAGAAGAAAAAATCTGCGCATCATTTTACTTCAAAGTTTTTCGGTTTTCTCAGCGATAAGTGAAGAGAATTCAGTGTAGTTTCTTTCTATAGTTGTGTCTATGGAATGTACATGTTTTGGCAAAGTTTCAGAGATTTTCCTTGAAAACATCGCGATTTTGTGCAACTTTTTAGCTCTCAGGTGAATGGGTGGGGCTTCGTCATTTTTGTGCGTCTTTTATTAGAATAATTACGGTAAATAAGTAGCTAATGGATATTTAAAGTACTGTAGCATTTAAATATTAGTTGGATAAGAGCTACCGTAAGACAATGCTCTTCTACAGTAAAATTAACTACCGTAAGACTTCTCTATAGTATAGGCAAGCTTTTTCAAATAACTAACTATCTTCTGAACCGCATAGAACAATTTTTTAAGGATGAATATCTCATTGTTGGTGAGAAAGAGAAAATTTCCAGGAAGACGAGAAGAAGGAGAATGTCCAAGCTAAAGGAAAGAAAGACAACAAGAAGACACAGTGATTCATCATTTTTCGAAACTTCTTCAAATTTTGGGTATTCACAAACGATTTAGCCTTCTTTGTCATTTGCATTCAATTGCCAGCTTCGTCACCTACCGTACATTACCATATTCCCCTCAGGATCCTATTTTTTTTATCATTTCCCAAGAGAAAACACTCCCCAACTGGGTGCGGTAGGTTTCCGTAGTTACACCAGTTTACTGTAAAAATTAAAATTTTAAGCTTAACTGAATATCTTTTAAAAATAATAACTTTTCCAAGCCATTTCGAAGCTCTAAATGTTGACCAAACTATCGTATTTTTTTTTTGTCTAAAAATCCCCTTCATGCGCAAGTACGAGTGACATAATTATTGTGAGTTGTGATGAGAGTTGAAAAAGAAGATTTTTTTTTTTGCTAATTTTGCCTTACTTGCTTTTTTTGAGAAAATTCTCTTCTTCGTGGTGCAAATTTTGGTTTTTGTGGTTAATAAAGTTTAAGAATTACCTTGGTTTTTTATAGAAGGCATTTTAAAACCTTAGAAAGAGAATTTTTGACAGTTAACGGATGTGTTTTGAATTTCTCAAGACCTCTGATAAACTAGAACAAGGCTTAGGCTTTTTGGTTCGGTTTTTGGAAGTGTTACTTGCAAATTCCACTCCGGACTTGTCATTTATTGTTTGAAACCGATTTTTCGTTAAAAAAAATCAGGCTTAGAAGCCGATAAAGAGGTTAAAGAGATATTCAGTTAAAGAGATTCACAATCAGTTGCATTCATTCAATTTGCTTGAACAAACTCTAACTTTATTATGCTTTGCTCTACGTACTTTACTATGCTTTACTCTAACTTTACTACGTTGAATGCTTTCAGTTTTTCATCTCAAAGTCCCAATCGAGCTTTTCCCCACAAAATTTTGTAGAACGGTGTGGAAATGAATCGATCCTCTGGACACACACTACTTAATTCGATGAATACAATTTATCGAGGCGAGGACGGGGATCCCTTTTTTAATCGACGAGAAAAGAGGGCCCAAAGGAGGGTTTTTAATTAGGGGTGGAGCGGAAAAGGAAAAGAGACGCCCCATCTCGGTTCTTTTTTCTTTTGGAGAATATCGAACGCCCTTCTCATCAAAAGGAAAGAGCCTTGGCGCAAAACAAAACGAAACAACGGATCCCTTCAGCTAATCCCAACGCTTTATTTGACCATTAAATGCCTGGAACCTGGGCTTCACTTGGAAAATTTTTGTCGTTTTCTCAAAACTTTCGGAAATTCTTTGCGCATTGCGTGGCAGCCCTTTCGTGTTTTTTTCCTCTTGTAATTTTCTGCATTTATCAACCGCCTTTTGTTTTCCACTTTGACCCGATTTAGTCAGATTGTATTTTTTAACTGTTTTACCGACGTTATTTTACTTTTTTCTGGGGTAATCAAACATGATGAATCTATTGATAATATTTCTAGAGAGTTTTGAACAATTTTTATTGACATTTTGATAAGCTAGCTGAAGTTTTGCTTCTGCAGTGTTGCTGAGCTTAAAAATGAAGAGCGGGGCAAAAACAAAGTGATAACTTGTTCAAAGTATTCTAAAAATATCGTCGATCGATTAAGCGTATTTGATTACCCCAGAAAATGCAAAACAAGACTAAAAAAAATGCCTAAAATCTGACCAATTCAAGTCGGGTCAAAGTGGACTCTCGAATTTTATTAATACCGCCGTTTTCTCTACCCCATTTTTGAAATTTAAAACCTTTTTTCAAAACTTTTGATGGTTTTCGCATAGAATCTAAAATCTTGTATTTTGTGGTAGCATATCCTTTGTTCACGCACGTTGTTTTGTTGACTCATTGTCACCTCTTTTTGCCTCTCAAAGATTACTCCAGGAAAATATTCTGTAAACACAATGAAAGAATCGATCTTTTCACATCTTGTTTACTGCTAGAACTTATATTTTTTTTGCTTGGTTAATTCTTTTCAGCCATTTTACGCTTCAATTCCATCCTAATTTTGTTTAATTTCAGTGAACTGAGAAAATGACCGAATGGTTGCCGTTGGAATCTAATCCTGATTCGATAAATTCGGTGGGTTCTGTTGATTATTTGAATTAAATATTGGTGTAGAGATAAAGTGGCGGACTTTATTAGAACTCTAAAACGATTTAGTGTGTTGAAATTCAGCAAATTACCTTATTCATCCAAAGCATTTACGTTTTTTTAAATAAATCTAAATGATTTAGAGATAAAATTCCTTTAAAAAAACTTCCTATTCTTAAAAGTAGCAATATCTTTGGTACTTTGGTTGGGAGGGGCCACTTTTGGCTTGCTTAGTCGAGCCTAGTGTTTTGAGCGGTTTGTGTCGATATTTTTCTTCTATTCTTCTAAGAAAGTGATATATGCTGAAGCGATTGGTGCTAATTTAAGCACGTTTTTGATAATCTTATTTGTTGATTTGCCCTGTCTCCTAGCCTGCTGTACGTTTTTGTCTCCGATCACCGAACGTTATCTCAAAGCTGATTACACTTGGAAAGCTGAAGTAAAGCTGATTACTAACTTGAAACACGTTTTAAATACTCTAAAATTAGCACCAATCGCTTCAGCATATATAATTACCCCGGAATAGTCGAAAAGTATCGACACGAACCGCTCAAAACACTAGATTCGATGAAGCCAAGCCAGTGGCCCCTCCCAAAGCACCATATCTTTTTATTCATTACTTATATCACTAGCTTCTAATCTTTCCCTTGTTTAGTTCCTCGAGAAGATCGGTGTGGAGTCAGTTGATTGCGTGGACGTTTTCTCCTTCGACGATGACATGCTCGAATTTGTCCCGAAACCGCAACTCGCCATGCTTTTGTGCTTTCCGGATTACAAAAAGGTTGGAATATTTATTAATAATGGAAACAACGGTTTATTATTCTATCCGGATGAAAATGTACTTATTTATAGACATGTGCCATCGGGTCGCCAAATGCATTTTAACAAACGGCTTTTGTTTTCTAAAGCGTAAAATCACATTGTATCCGCGTTTTAGAAAACAAAAGTCGTTTGCTAGAATGCATCCGATGGCACATGTCTACTTAGTTATTCATTTAGGTCGACGCTATAATGCGGCCGATCTACGAAAAGTTGAAAGCTGATGGAGCTAAGGTAATGTTTTTAAAAAGCTTTTGTTAAAAGTATTAGGTTTTTTGAACCAATAAGTTGTAGAAAGTACAGGTTTTATGAAAAGGTCTTTTTTTTTCTTATTGATAACTTGGCTTAGGTACCAGAAGGAGTGTTCTTCATGGAACAAAAAATTCGAAATGCTTGTGGAACGTTCGCGCTTTTCCATGCACTTGGAAATATTGAGGGCAAAGTCGATTTAGGTTTGTTTTAAAGTTGGACGAATGTCTAATAAACATAAGATAATATTATGAAGTTTATTTTTAGAAATAGTAAACTAAATGATGACCAATTTTCTCACCATTGTCAATACACTGATTATATAATTTTTTTTCAGGACAAGGCTCCTTTAGCTCATTTCTTCAAAAGGCGAAGGGTCTACCACCATCAGAGATTAGCAAGCTTTTGGAGCATACGTCAGATATTGGTTAGTTTTAACCGTGGATGAAGCATTAATTTCAATAATGATAATTAAAATATGTTCATCGTTTTGATGTTTTAGCCTCAGCACACGAGAACGCAGCAAGAAGTGGCGAGACCGAAGCCCCACCGGGAGACAAGGTTGCTTTTTTGATTAAACTTTTCATTTTTGGATCTAGGTTGAACATCATTTCATCTGCTTTGTCAACGTAAATGGATTGCTTTATGAGATCGGTGAGTTCTTTGGATATTTAATATTTAGTACATAAATCTCTTTGCTTTATCTTTCATTAAATATATTTAGTGATTGCGAATTTTTGCTTTAGATTCCCGTGCTTCATTCCCTCGTCCACTTGGCGCGACTTCGGGCGACACGCTGGTGAAAGATGCGGGCGTCTTCGTGAAGCAATTGATGTCGCAAATGGAGAATATCTCTTTTGCGGCCATGGCTTTGGTGCCAAAGCAGTAACTGAGTTTTTTTTGTTTTTCAACGATTTATAAACTTTCACGATGTTTATACTGTTTCAATCGCTTTCGGAGAATCCGGTACCCATAGCTTTTTGTGATTAAGTAGGATCTCTTTCTTATTTTGTTGGCTCTTTTTGAAAATCGTGTGGTTTCTTTTGCTTTTTTAAAATAAAGATTTGCCAATTCTATTTGCAAACGTTAAAATGGAACGGCGCTTTGGCATTGCAAGAACAGGAAAGCATTTTAAGATAAAAAGTTGATGAAAAACTGACTAGCTTTACGTTTTCAGTTTAACCAAAATTTGCAGCTGATCTCCTAAGAATTTACATTTTAATTTTTTTCCTATATAAACTCCAATGGACGCTCCTTATTCATTATTCTTGACGTTTTCGAACCGGTCAACTCTTCTCGACGATGTCCGACGGTCAGTTTCTGTTTTATTGTTTTGGTTTTCTTCTTCTGGTATCGCTATCATGGTATGAATGTGTTACTTGGCAAGTAAGCCTCTTTATAATGGTTGGATATAGACTGTGTTACAAAAGCAATGAGTTTTTTAATTGAAGGAAGTGAAAGATAAGAATTGCTGATACTGACTTGATACATATGCGGAATTCACTAAAACTTTTGTAGCTAGATTGATCGTTAAAATAATAGGTACTTGGGAATAAGCTATTAAAGCTCCGCAAAGCACAGTGCTTTTAAAAATGCAAATCTGTTAAACTTTGTCTAATATTTTTCACCTTTCTCTTTCGCGTTTAGCTGCGGGAAAAGGTGGTGGTGGCGGTGGAAAAGGAAGCGGCGGAAGAGGAAAAGGCAGCTCGAGTGCTTCAAGCAAGGTGAATTTTGCGCATTACATCGATAAGTTTTAAGTGTCTCCTTAGTCTATGCCAGATTAAGGGCTTCTATCTCATTTGTTTACGTCTACAATGTTATAGCCAGAATTTTAAGCATAGCGGCTACTATGAATTGCAGTGTTTATTGCCTTCTTGTAGTTAAATATTGATTTAGTCATCCTCTGCTTCGGCGTCTCGTGCTAGCAAGACTCCTCAAAGGGCTAAAAACAAGTCTCGATCGACGAATGTAAGTTTCTTTTTTGAATTTTGTATTTTTTTGTTGTGTTCATTGCATTGCTTGCTAAAAGATTACTTTAGCCGTCTCCCGCTTCGGCACCGCGTGTTGATTGGACGCCTCAAAGTGCCGGAAATGTGTCTCGATCAACAAATGTGAGTTCTTTTAATGTGTACTCTCTAGTATTAAATAGATCTATTTTATTGTCATTTGTGCATTACATTGCTTATTAGAATGTTAACTGTTTAGACATCCTCTGCTTCGGCGCCTCGTGCTAGTAACACTCCTCAAAGGGCAAAAAACAAGTCTCGATTGACGAGTGTAAGCTTTTGAATTGCATAATTTCATAACGTGCTATTTCGTCTTGTTAAAAGATTGCTTTAGTCATCTTCTGCGTCGGCATCGCGTGGTAGCAGGAATTCTCGAAACACTGGAAACGCATCTCGATCAACGCATGTAGACCTTTATATTAAATTTTATAATTTTCGTTGAGCTTTTTATATTGTGTATTAAAAATATTGGGTACTATCCTAGTTGGGGGGCACTTTTTTTTCTTCAAAACCAATTTTTCTGGGGTAGCTTTATGCGTAGATTCCGAAAAACACAACGAGAGCTTGGGAAAAAGCGTTTTAAGCTGCGTTTCAGGGCTCCAAAGTGAGCGCTTATACAGTGTGATGAGAGGAATACACATAAGGAAGAGGTCTAAAAATGGTCTCTCAAAACATTTTTGAAGCTAAAAACACTTCTTCTGGCATAATTTAGCCTACTGATTACGTTTCTGATCAAATTGGAGCTAAATAAAAAAATACTTTTTTCCAAATTTCGATCATGTGGTCCCCACATGAGTCAAAATCTCAAAAAATATTTTTTCGATTGGTTTTGCCTCTACCAGTCAATTTAAGTTAGAAAATGAATATTTAGTGGTTAAAAATGGTTTTGGTTTTGACCTTGAGAAGTGCCCCAATAGTCGATAGCTTGGGCCCCATATAGTGACGTACACTATAGAAGCGCGCACTTTGGAGCCCCGAAACGCGGCTTAAAATGCCTTTTCCCAAGCTCTTATTGTGTTTTTTGGAACCTACGCATAAAACTACCCCACAAAGAGTGGTTTTAAAAAAAAAAGTGCCCCCCCCCCAACTGGGATAATACCAAAGGTTGAAACGTAAAATGACAAAAATGGAGAAAGGAGTATCGTTTTTTGTTGCTGAATTCTATTCTAAATGTCAACCCAGGGATAAAGAAAATGTTTTACTTCTTGCTTTTAGAAACAAAAAGAAAACAAACCCTTGACGAATTGTCCATGTCCTACCAAGCCCGCCAACCCTCGGGTCAAATGTGTTCCATTCCGCCCAATCTCGGTAAAGACTTTGGTTATGGAAATCTTTAATCAAAAAGTAGTATTTGTTACTCATTTGTATAATTTAGAGGCCAAGATTGATTCCCGAGCGCGTTTCTGCGCCTCCAACGTTGCCTCAAACAGCCGTTTCACCCTTACATTCGCAACTTTCTACAGATAATGAGTATGTGATTAGATTTTTTGAAGTGAATCTGTTTTTGTTGTTTTTAGTGATCTGTTTTTAGTGAAATGTGCATCATGGACCTGCCTCATCCTGTGACATCGAGTGGCACTCGGTAAGAGACTTTTAAAAGTAACTTCGCTTTCGTTAACGAATTATTTTTAGATCTGATCTCGTTCATCCGGCAACAGCAACTCGTGCATCGACCAGTGACCCAATTTTAGCCAACATCAAAGGACCACTAACCATTCGGACACGCCGTCGCATGGGACGCCAGCCTCAAAGTGGAGACATTTTTGTAGAAGAGGTAAGTTTTTAAGTATAAAAATATGTAGTATGTTGCTGACTTTTATTTAGACAATTGACATCCTTGGCGCCAACGATCCATCAGCAACAGTGGAACAAGTGAAGGGACGACCGATTCAGCAAGGTGCTCGTGATTTCAAGGTGAATTCGTTTCCAGTGGAACTTTGGTTAATATTAATGCTTAGGTTAACAATGAGAATGGCAAAAACAGCCCGAGTGTTGGTGGAGGAGCAGTGATCGCAGCGGGAATCGCTCAACTTCAGTTTGCCGTTCAGCTTCCCAGTCAAGGACCTCTCGATTTCACCTGGGTGAGTGACTTATAGACTTGTCTATGATTTATTGTTAAGTCATTAACGGTAACTAAATCATTGATATCAAGTGATATACGAAATGAGAAGTTTAAAAAAATTATCCTAACGATAGTCAAATTTATCTTGTAACAGAAGTTTTTTTTCATTCCAGTTATGATTCGGGAATTTTTAGGATCAACAATTCACTACCACTCAAGATGCCCAACCAATTCTCGTCGATTTTACTCAAAGACCTTTGGAGGGTAAGTAAATTTTTTGCAACTTTTGATATTTTTAAAATTTTAGTCCAGTCGATCAACGCCATAAATAAAAATGATTTGACGGGACCGGTGAACATTGCCTTACACTTGAATTCGACTCGAGGTGAAGAGACGCCCATTATGACTACCACTCAAACAACTGCTCAACCACAAGCGGCACCACCATCCAACTGCAATGTTCCATCCTCAGCAAATACTCTTATTCGAAATGCAATCGAAATTCGTTTTGGAGAGTCAAAAGCTCTTCCTACTACGGTCAGTTTTTTGTTTGCTTTATTGGTCAGATTATATGAGTTGTTCTTTGCTAATGTAGCCGTTATTAATTGTAACAAAGGCTAAACTTGTCTGTTATAGGAATTGCGCAAGAAGGTGCCCAGCCTGGCGAAGAACCTCGGTCATCCACAGATTCGTGAACGCGTCTTTTTCGGCGATGGAGTGATTCGTTTGGACCGAGACATGCTTATTCGCCCTGAGGTCCTGTTATATTGCTTTTCCAGTTACAAAGTTCGCTTTTAGGATGGTGTCGGAGAAATGAAGGAAGACGTACGCACATATGACTTCGTTCCAGCGACTCTTCCGGCAATGGGTGAACGACGCTTCTCGATGGCCCCATACTCGGAATTGTCCGGCTTTCCATCACTCTTGAATATCCACGGCGAACGTGCTCGGTGGGTTTCAGTTTAAGTGTCGTTTTTCAATTTCATTTTCTTGCTAGTTGATAAGCTAATGTTGAATCTTTAGCACAAGATCACCTATCGTGAACGCTCGAGTGAGCACGGGAAGGTACGTTTTGGCCGTTTGGTTCAAGTCCAATTAATTTTTTTAGTACCAGAAGCAGCAGCACCTCCTCGTTGGCTACGGCAATTCCATATCGAGCAGACGGTCCAATGTGGGTATTTTAACATTGATACTTTTATAAGGAAATAGGTTTCCTTGGGCATGCATAATTTTATGCACTTGTATGATTACTTTTTGTTACAGGAATCGCACATCGATTTGCCCAACAGCCTCCTCACCTTCTGTGCAAACGGCTCGTTCTCGTGAAAGTTCGTTGTCGGCAACAAGGTTTTGTTTGTTTTCAAAACTAAGAATATTATGTCAATCCCCCATTCGATCGTTTACTTCGATGGTAATTTTAATAACTTGTTGTCCTTTCAGTGGTCGCTCATCTCGTTCCAAGCTTCAAATAGCGCCATCCAATCAGAAAAAAGTGTCTGCTCGAACGGGTGTCTCAATGAATCGCCTTGAAAGGGCTCAATCGACACCGCCTCCATTTGTTTCAAGACAACAACCTGCTAAAACATCTACGGTAAGATCGAATTACTCGTCTGGCGAACTAATTTGTTTCCTTTAGGAAGTATCATCTTTGGAGAGTTCTGCTCTAGTAACGGCTCAACGTCCTTCAAGTGGAATGTCTAGTTCGGCCTCTATTGCTACGGTAAATTTTGTTTATTCTATTCATTTACCCTTTTTGATTTAAGGATCCCACTCAAGCATCGATGATAGCTTCTTTCAAAACTCCTCCCCGTGGACAGTGGTCAACTCCGATGCTTGATCGTTACGCTCCAGCCACCCATTCCACTCCTCGCACTAGAAAGTACTTTTTTTGGTTGATCAACTTACAATTAAGGGTTTGCTACCGTTTTATCACGTAAATAAGCTATCAAAAATGGGTAAAACTGATTTTCACAGATAACTTACTTTTTAGTTCTTTGTCGACTCCATCTAGCACAGGAACCGCTCGTTCAATTGGCCGAAGCACGCCTCAATCTCGAAAGCAAGTAAGCATTTATCTCTTTATAAAGTTCATAGATTATTCTACTTTAGTCTCAAGCGACTCCAACTCGCAGCCAAACCGTCGCTACGCCGCGTTGTTACTCACCATACACAATAAATCAACGTCAAGCATCGGGTCACCGTTCCCATCGTGGTGTTACTCAATCAGCTGGAAATCGGTAGGCCTTGTTTATGGATCAACTGTTTAATTTCTTTCTTCTTATAGATCCGACCATGGTCATAAATCCAGGTCGGGAAAATCTTCAAAGACGAGTCGTTCCTCGAGACATCCGACTGCTTTTAATATCGTTAATGGCGAGCGGATGTTCAAGTATGCTCTTAAAGAGCTTTAAGTAGAAATATTGTTTTTAACTTGTTTAGGCGTGGAAATACTCCTGCAAAGCCCGCTACCGATGGCTCGACCACCCATAGCATCTCGGCGAATCGTATGGCAAGAAGTAGGTAGTAGAACTTGTTGGCATTTTCTTATGCCCTTAGAAAAGTTATAGTTCTTGTTTGAAACCGATAGGTTACCTTTAATACTGAAGTTAGATAATTCTTAGTTTCTGCGGTTTCATAATTCTTTGCATCATTTAGAAGCTCGTTCTTGTAGGAAGCTATTCAGTCCAGATTCGAATACAAAGTCAAGAGATTTGAATGGTTAGTTTTGCGACTTTTTATTGCGATTTGACTTATCCATTTAGCTACTTCATCAAATGCAACTACAAATTATAATGGAATTTCGGCTAGTGCACTTTCGACTACAGGTATTTTAATGTGAATGCTAAAATCAATTATTTTTGTGTTTAGGTATGGAAGCCACTACAATGATTGAAGAGCCAGTGAATCGCCTAGCAAAACGTGGGATTAAAGTTTCGACAATCGAAGCAAGTTGTTTATTTTAGCCTGCTATCGTCGTGAGCCTCATAGACAATGCCGTGGATGTGGTGGGTGATTTTGAAAGATTTATGTAGTTGGCATAGGTATTTATGATTCTGATCCATTATATAGTAACTTTTTTAGGAAAGCCGCTCACTCAAAAGAAGAAATCAACAGCCTCGGCGGCACAGAATCCTTCAATTCAAATGCTTGAGACTGATTCAAATGCTTCAAATGGTGGTGGAGTGCGCTTTAAGGTAGGGTTACAACAGTTTAAAGTTAAAATTTGTTGTGGGTTCATAGATTAGACTTACTATTAGGTTTCAATTCAGTTTTGGTTGCTGACTATTATTAGGTTGGCCCATAAGTCTTGGTAACACTTTTTTCTACTAGCGTTTATAAATGACAAATGCACCGATTGACCTACGGTTTGCTTCATTAGAAAGGCCTATTATTTTTCTACAAAATAACGTTCAAATCTTATGAAAATGTTTTGTCTCTGGTTTTTTATGGGGCGCGAAGTCGGGTAGTCAAAAAAGGCGACAATCCGAAGACACAATGTAGACACTTTGGTCCACAGAAACTTATGTTGTCAATAAATAAAAGATAGAGCGTAAAAAGTTAGGCATATAGCCCAATTTTTAGGATAATCTATTCGGCCAATTTCTTCGTAGAGGTTTTTATAGATTTTTACGAAAAACACGTTTTTCACTTTCGAATTTGCTTGAAAGCAAACCCAAATTGTTTTAAAAAGATAGAAAAATGAATAATAAACATTTTCTATTTAGAGCCAATCGTAGGTCAACCGGTGAATTTGTCATTTATAAACGCTAGTAGAAAAAAGTGTTACCAAGACTTATGGGTCAACCTAATAGGTTTAACTGGATAATGAATGGAATTCTCTTGTTTAGGTTAAAATGCGCTTCGATTTCAGCGAGCTGCTTAAACAGGAAAAGATGCCATCATTTGAGCCATCCACCTCCGCCTCATCTCGTTCAAATCAAATTGGTGCAAGTGCTGTCGTCTGTTTGCCCCCTGGAGTGATCCCCGAGAAGGCGACGATCATTGGAATCGCACCAAACAACGACCCATCGAAATAATCACATTCATAATCTCAACTTCTCTAATTTCTTCTTTGGTTTATTTGATTTGTGATGTTTTTATCGTTCTCTACTACATAAACTTGAGTTTGATGTGATTTTTGGGTTTCCTTCTTTGTGGTATGCTTTACGCGTGTCGCTCTTCTTTTTTCACTCACATTTTTTGCCATTCGGGATTACTTGTGGCATATTGGGATAAAGGGCGAATAAAAATTTTGATAGATACCATTTCACGTAGCCGGTTATTTGTTGTTGTCGAAATGTCGAAAACATCTTTTGCTCATACATAGTGATTGATGGAAGGGTGTGGGCTTGTTATTGCTGCTCTTTATTGACGTGATAAAGGGATCCAAGCAATGACGACAGTTTAGAGAGATCTTTCTCCAAAATGAGAGCATTTCCCGATCTCAAATTTTGTCTCAAAAGTGACCACCGCCCTTTTCTTTTTACCCGATCTCTTTCCGTACTCGTTTCCCGGAAAATCGGTGTAAATTTCCTGATTCCTTTTGAGTGGATCAATGAGACGCTCTAGTTTGTCGGACTTGAGAGTTGAGTTGAAATAGATGAGAATTAAACTGTTCTTTGGAGTTGATCAAGAGATCATTTTTGCTTTTGATTTTTTGATGATCCTTTGCAAGTATTTGTTTTAAAGAACACAATACATGCAGGGGAATATATTGACCTAACCGGATCAAATCGAAACGAACTTTTGAACCCGATCAGATACTGTATTAAGTATAAGTGAAGCCGAGCCTTTACTTTCAAATATTACACAAATCACAGAACACATTTCACAGATGATAAAGTTTCAGCAAAGAAAGCTTGTCTCGATGAGTAAACGAGCTTCTTTTCTAATCACATTTCCATTCAATTTCACCTCTTCATTCCTCTCTAATCGAATCACACATTGTAGCTCGAATTACTCGAATCACTCATTCATTGAAATCAGCTGTGCTGTGTGTGGTTGCTGCTCGGTGGATTTTTTGAAGGAAAATTAGAGGCGACTCCTGGTCGACGATTTGTTGAGATGGAGTTTGTGAAAGAAGTTTCGTGATGAAACGGGAAGAAATTTTGTACTTTCGAAACTCTCGCTATAATTTGATCACCACACTCACCACACAAAATACCAAAAACCGTATCCTCATCAAATTTTGTGGGCACAAAAACAAAATAGGGCACAAGTTCGGCTACAATAGTACAAGTGAACTATGCACGTTTTATCGGATATGATTCACATGTTCTGCAAGCAAGTGAACTGTTTATGCATCTGATTATGACTTCTTTCTATTGAATTCTCCAAGAGTCATTTCTAGAAATTTGAATCGATTCATTGTTCACTTTGAAGGAATGACAAAATGACATAATAGACTGCCACAATTAAGACTGCCACTTTGAGGGGTTTACGTATCTTAATTGATATTTAATGAATCATACTGATAGACGATAGTGAGAGCTATGTAAATGAAGTAAAACTTAGAACTCATTTCGAAAATTAGATGTGATTTTTTTCTCCAAATTTAGTGGATAGAGGATTATGCTTTGTGAGGAATTTCCCCTTCCAATTTCAACCCATCACCCGCTCATCCTTTTCAACTCCAAATTAGTGACTGTGCAAGACTTGCAAATGCTTGAACATTTCGAAACTTTTCAGTGAAATGAGGAAAAACGAATGTGTGAATGTTGTAGTTTGGGACAATCGAATTAGAGAAAAATTCGAGGTGATCGTTGGCTAGTTTCCATTTCTTTGTCAGAAAAGAAAAGAAATATCATCATTTGTCGAAGAAATGAATGAAAAGAACATGACTTTAAAATGGAGATGGAATTGTTTCTCAATTGTTGTGCATTGTTACACACAGCTAAAGTCAGTTTTCATTGCTCATTGTTAAGTTATACATAAAGAAGATCAAAGTTATGCAGAAAATTTTTGATGTTAGTAACAAAATCTAGCTGTGAATCAAAAGCAATGAGCAATAGCAATGAGCTTTCGAGATTTTATTGAATCTAGAACCAAAACTGTAGTTCAAGCTTTGAAAAGACTGAAAAAAAGCGGCTTTCTTGTACTTGAAACTTTTCAATAGAATTTTCGCTTTCTAAAGCTTGCCAACTTTTGCAAACTACCGTAATCCTGGCTCCAGTTCTTATCCAAAACTATTCTTTGGCTAGCTTTCTAAGCGCAAAGAATACCAAATGTAGATAGATGCAATAAAAATAGAGATAAGATTACGGTAGTATTCTCGGAATACATCGGAAACACCTCAACCAATTGTAAGACTTGATCAAACAAATTACTCACTGTTCCCTCAATTTGAACCGATTGAAATCTAATAAAATTTGGATATTCCGAGAACGTTTTTGTGACAAATCATCGTTTTCCAGGAATTGAGAGAAGAAGAAAAAGAAGAAAAGGGCAATGAGTCGTTTTGCTCAAATTTGGTCAACAACCGATCGAAGCCTGTTTTTCTTTTTGATAAGTGTCAATTGATAAGTGAAAAAAAGTATATAAAGGTGGGAAATATCAGGGAAAGCTCAGAAATCGAATTTATTTTTGTATTAGGGATTTTTCGATCAGCCTTTTTTAGTTGCTTTTTTTTGAACTCTTCATTGTTTTATGGCTAATTTAGGGAAGAGTTTGAAACTGAGTACGGTAGAGAAATTTAAAGATATCAGCAGGCTAGGATATGTAAGCAAGGCCAGGCTAGACCAGAACTGGCCCAGCCTAGCCTTTGCAACTTTTGTTCAAATCATTAGATCATCTTCATGATGATCCAACCTGTAAATCAGATCAAGTCCAGTCAAGCCTAGCATTTGAAATTGTCTTTGTAAACTCGATTCAAACGTTCATACGAAATTCCTTTGAATTTTTTTATGGCTAATTTAGGGAAAAGTTTGAAACTGAGTACGGTAGAGAAATTTAAAGATTTCAGCAGGCTAAGATATGTAAGCAAGGTCAGGCTAGACTGGCCCAGCTAGACTAGGACTGGCCCAGCCTAGCCTTTGCAATCCTTGTTCAAATCATTAGATCATCTTCATGATGATCCAACCTGTAAATCTGTAAATCTGTAAATCAGATCAAGTCCAGTCAAGCCTAGCATTTGAAATTGTCTTTGTAAACTCGAACAAACGAAATTCCATTGCTCGTTTTTCACCCATACATTCTCTCAAGATTTCCCTGTTTTCCTGGTTGTACTCTGTGTCAAAGAACATAGAACGGAAAAAAAGGATCACGAAAAAAACCGGGAAAACATATGTAATGAGAAATCGTGTAGTGATTGTGCTCGAGTCGGGGGAAATGGGTGGAGGAGGATGATGTGGAGTTTGTGCGATTGTTTTGTAGTGTCTTGTGATCGTTTCTCTTTTCTCTTGATTTCAAAATCATTGAACACTCATCGTTTTTCTCTTTTATGTCTCCTCCCCTTTGAATGAACCCTATAAAAGAGCGCGCGGAGATTCTCAATCAACAGCACTAGACAGTCTAGTGAACGCAAAAGATGCAGAGCTTTGATCTTTCAAATGTTTTCTTTTGGCTTATTCTTGGGTTTAATAATAATACTTTCAAGTGTTTAGCTTTCAAGAGCCTAGCTTTCAAGAGCTTGACTTTCAAGAGCTTGACTTTCAAAAGTTTAAACTTTACTTTGTCTACTCAAAATTAGCCATTTTTTGTTTTTTTTTTGTTTTGAATCAATTCAAACATCAAATTAAGCTTAAACTTGCTCAAGTTAAAAGCAAAATTGCAAATTCCCAAGCTTAAATGGTTTTTGCAAAAACTATGATACTTTCGAGTACATTTTGACTTTTCTATTGCATTCAAAAGCATTCAATTCAATTTCTGGTAGCTATAAAATCTTTGCGATTTTCAATTACCTAAAAATTCTCATTATAAAACCAAGATCTAAGTCTTAAACCTTTTTGGGACTGAGATTTGATTTCCTTGCAAATCAAGGCATTTCATTCTTTCGAATTCAACTCCTCTTTCGAAATTCTCTCGTATTTTATCACATGTTAAATGTTAATTCGATTAACGAACTCAAATTTTCCCTGTCAACATTGTAATTTGTGTACTTCAAAAGATTTCAATTTTTTTTTCAATGCTTTCATTTCTTTCATTGCATTTCGTACTTTGAAATTTTAGAACTCTCAAAAAAACGAACCATTATGCAACCAAAAATGTCGAAACTCCTTCAAATGGTCGGCGAATCGTTTGGCTTGGAGAAATCACCGAATTTTCATTTGAGTCGTGAAAGCGAGAAGAATCTGAATGAAGCGATTAGAAGAGAATCGATCACATATATGCAGAAAAACGAGAGAAAGGTTTGTGAGTGGAAATGGACATTGATAAAATGTATAGCAAGCTAGGCTATAAAGCTAGGCGAACAAGCTAGGCTATCAAGCTAAGCTATAAAGCTAAGCTATAAAGCTAAGCTATCAAAGCTAGGCTATAAAGCTAGGCTATAAAGCTAGGCTAACAAGCTAGGCTCGTTGGCTATAAAGGTTATAAAGCTAGGATAGATTCACCCTGTTCTACAGATTTTCAATGTAAATTCGCCCAAGTACTTTATCGTTTAAAGTCAAGATATTCAATTTATCAATTGTACTTATTTACCTTTTCATTTCAGACTCAAGACAGCAACGATTCTCTCCACCGCCTCAATATCTACGTCACTCCTGCATCCACAATTGGTGAGTTTAGAAGCGGTTAAACTATTAAAATAATATACATCTATATAATAATATACATAATAACAAAGCTGGGCACTATCCAACTTATTCTTGCATAATATCACATAGAAATTGAACCATGGATAAAACCATAATAAAAAGATGAGAATAGTCGTGTAGTACTGGAAATCGGTCATGAATCAATCAAAATTCATACTGTGATTGAAATTTGAACACTAAAGTCTTGAGAAAACAATTCATAAGCCAGCAAATTTCCAGAATCCTCAATCGAAGCCTCATCTTGCCCAGATCGTCGTCAATCCCATTGTGGCGTCATCGAGAACACGCAATTCGATGCTCAACGAAAAAGCTCTTTGTAAAATGATTTTCTTTCACTTCAAAATCTCAAAATCTTTTTGTCTTTACCGTTTTTTTCTGTCTCTCACTTTTCTCGTTGATCTCTTAGCAGATATTCGTGCAGTTACGGGTTTTTGAAATTTTCTGTCGATGTGTAAATAGTAATAAAGTTTTGGGAACTATCTTGCTGTTCTTGTGCTTTGAAGTCACGAAAAGTTTGAAAGTTTTTAAACGAGAAAAATAGTGAAGGAAACGAAGGAAAGATTAATGGAAGAAAACTCTTCTTCCCTCTTGTGTTACATTTTTTCTCTCGGGAGGTTGACATATCGGATAGCTCAGTGGTTAGAGCCGGAAACCCAGTAAGCAAGGGGTCGGGGGTTCAATTTCCTCCCCGGCAGTCTTTTTTTCTTTTCAATTTCTTTATTACAACATTATTACAATTATTGGGTAGTCCGGAAAAGTAATTTACAATTAAAAGTTAGGAAAAGTATCTTTCCCTTAAAAGTTAGGAAAAGTAATCTTTCCCTCAGATTTTGTTCCTAAATCAAGAGAGATCAGGAGTAAATGAAACAGAATAAAGAAGGAGAAGATTACGATAATTATCCAAAATGATCCACCCTTTAGAGAAACGCATTCTTCATTTGTCTGTTGTTCATTTTGTACGAAATTGTCTTCGAATTTCGTGAGTGAGTTCGGGGAAATTAGGGTTTACCTCAATCTGAATCCTGAAATAGTCATCCGTTCCGTTCCGATCCCATCCGAGTCCCATCCGTTTAAATGTGAAACCTCGAATCTCATTCACTGGTCTCAAGCTCTACTACGGCTCTACTCGTTTTTCTTCAAGCTCTACTCGTTTTTCTCAAAACATCTCGCAAGTTTGCGACTAAAATTTACTCTTTCAAAATGCTCAAAAAGATTTTTCACCGAAAAACAAGAAACTTGTTATGATGGATGTCGAAAAACACATAAAAAGAAGACAAAAATGGAAAAGGTCAAAATAGATTGATAAAAGTAGTGAAAACAATTGTCGCAAGAAAAAAATAGACCTAGCAAACGTAACAATAACATTATTTCATAAGTTTTGTATTAAAGCCATTCCTGGATGCTGATTTATGCAGCGTTTTAAAGAAAATGTTTATTTTAAAACCAACCGTAAGTCAATCCTTAATCCTTAAGTCAGAGATCTCTCCGCATCTCTCCAAAATGCGAATACCGTATTTTCTCTAATAGTAGTGCACTCAGAGCCTCACCTAAATTCCTCGAAATCTCGAGAACCGCTAATCAGAACCTATCGATGTGGGGTCGGGAAATGTAGCTGACGATGAGATCTTTTGGGGGATTAGAGTGTTGAGCTTCTGTAAAAGCTTGGAAACCGTCAAATAGCCATCAACTCGGCTCGCCGGGGTGCACTACTATTTGAGAAAATGCGATGTTATTGCTGATCATCAGAAATTTGCCAATCGGGCCCTAAGATCAGTCAGCCAGGTCAGAAGCCAGCCTCAAGGCTGTCTGACTATCTTGAGCTTTGGGTGATTTGAGTGTTGAGCTTCCGCCAAAGCTTGAAAACCGTTAAATAGTCATCAACTCGGCTCGCCGGGGTGCGGAATTAGAGAAAATACGGTAATGATGAAATCACTTGATTCATGAAATCACGGAAAAATAAAGATGTTTGATTTTTGGAAATGCAACAAGATAAAGTTGATTTCTCGAACTTTTCACTAGGTGATCTTTCAAAAACAACTTTTTCAACTGATTTCTTGATCTTTCTTAATTGAATTAGCTGAGAAAAGAAGTTCAAACGATAGACAATCAACAAACGAACAGATGAAAACGATAAACGGAATATAAAACGATGTTTTAAGCAGAGAAATTGAGTCTGATAAGTGATTTTTTTCTTGACAAGTTAAGCTAAACTGTTCGATGTTTAGTGATCTTATTTCTTAACTTTCTACAAATCTTTAATCTTTAACTCTAACCTCAATCTATAAAATATCTCTAAAATGGCTCAAGTTAACACTCAAGACGCATTTGAATCATTGAAAAAATGATTTTTCTTTTTCTAATCGTCTAATAGTAATGCTTTACTATTGCTTTACTACGTCTAATAGTAATGATTCAGTTACCGTAGCCCGATTTAGTCAAATTGTTGTTTCAATTGTTTCAAACTGTTGTTTCATTGTTTCAAAATCTTTTTTAATATATCTTAAAAGAAAAGAAGCTTAAAGTAAGCGACTACTTGGGCTACTGTAACATCTGAGTGATGATGTTAGGTAGTTGAGTTACGCTTTAAAGTGCTTTAAAGTTAAACTGTCGTTTCAAAATCGACTCGTCTGAGTTGACATCTTGTAATGGCGGTCTTTTTAATAGAGTTGTAGAATAGAAAAGACTAGAATAGAATGGATAGAATGGATTTAGAGAATATAATAGAATAGAATAGAATAGAAAAGGATAGAATCGAATCGAATAGAATATAATAGATAGAATGGATCGAATAGAATAGAACAGGATAGAATCGAATAGAATAGAATAGAATCGAATAGAATCGAATAGAATCGAATCGAATAGAATAGAATAGATAGAATGGATCGAATAGAATAGAACAGGATAGAATCGAATAGAATAGAATAGAATCGAATAGAATCGAATAGAATCGAATCGAATAGAATGGATCGAATAGAATAGAATAGATTAGATAGAATGGATCGAATAGATTTGTCGAAACCATTTGTAATGAAACAAAGTGACAGAAAATGACACCGAATTGCATGTGCCATTGCCACCGAATTGCCATTGCCACCGATTTGCCATTGCCACCGATTGCCATTGCCACCGATTTGCCATTGCCACCGATTTGCCATTGCCACCGAATTGCCATTGCAACCGAATTGCCATTGCAACCGAATTGCCATTGCAACCGAATTGCCATTGCAACCGAATTGCCATTGCCACCGATTTGCCATTGCCACCGATTTGCCATTGCCACCGATTTGCCATTGCCACCGATTTGCCATTGCCACCGATTTGCCATTGCCACCGATTTGCCATTGCAACCGAATTGCCATTGCAACCGAATTGCCATTGCAACCGAATTGCCATTGCAACCGAATTGCCATTGCAACCGAATTGCCATTGCAACCGAATTGCCATTGCAACCGTGATTGAGTCACACGTTTAACAACCCATTTCACCGGCATTGTAAATGAATTAACTTTTACTCGTTAAACAATAACTAATTCCCTCGAAAAACTCTCAATTTTGCCAACTTTGCAACACATGATTTTTCTCATTTCGATCATTCACTCACTCAAAAAAACAAGCTGTTTGAGGAAGAAAAACCGGGTTTTTTTTTCAGAGAAATCTCTCAAATTTTCATGAAGATATTCAGTTTTCTCTCAAATTTACTCGAAAAAAAACTGAAGAAAGCGAGAAAGTTTTCGAGTTTTATCCTTTATCCGATCTCTATCAGTTATCCCAAATCATCTCCATTGTTTCAAATTGGATTGACCTTTCAGAGATTTTTTTCAAAAGCTTTCGAAAGTTTTGTGATTGAAATACTGCACGATTTATAGTTTTGTTTCATTTTCACTAACTTTTCGCAACTTTTCGCAACTTTTCCATGCCAGGCTCAACTCGGCAACTCCTCTAAGTGGCCTAGTTTACAAGCCTATACTAGTGAATTCCCTGGGCTCGCTAGAAGCCAGGCTTAGACTCTAGCATCTGAGCAGGCTCTTGGTTTGTCTGGCCTGCTTAAACGTCTTATAGTGAAATGATGCCAGAGTCTAAGTCTGGCTTCTAACGAGCTCAGGGAATTCGCTCTATACTAGTGAATTCCCTGAGCTCGCTAGAAGCCAGGCTTAGACTCTGGCATCATTGAACTATAAGACGTTTAAGCAGGCCAGAAAAACCAAGAGCCTGCTCAGATGCCAGAGTCTAAGCCTGGCTTCTAACGAGCTCAGGGAATTCACTAGTATAGAGTTGTTAAATCCTAATGCTAGGCTTTTAGATCCTAATGCTAGGCTTATAGTTAAAGTCAGCTTCTGGGCTGGCTTCTGACTTTACTAGACCCGGCCTAGAGCCTGTTGTTGTTGTTGCTGTTGTTGTTGGGCTTGCTAGAGGCTTTACTGTAGAGCTGATCTGGTTTTTAGATCCTAATGCTAGGCTAGAACATCTTGATAGACATTGTCAGTAGAAAACTTTTGCTCACTTTAGCATCAGTAAAATTTCATTTACAGTAAACTTCCACACCGCTCAAGTTAGTGAGCAGATTGTGATCTGGATTTTGTAGTGGTGCAATAGGATTACTGGCTGTAGGAAAGTGCTGACATCAATCTCCAATGATGACTCGAGTGATCACAAACTCGATTCCTTTTCTTTCTTTCTTTTCGAAATTTCTTCATGACTGTTGTTTTTCTCTTAATCAAATGAGAGCATAAAGTTGAAAAGGGAAACCCGTTCTTTCACTTTCTTGCAAACGTCGGGTACATTCTTTCATTTCAAATTACGCAGTGGAACTAATTTGAAAAGCCCTTAAGGTTTCTCATCCAAAAGAATGACAATATTTCTTCGTAAAATGATCTTTTCTTAACACATTTACGAAAATATAGCTCACGATCACGATCATTATTTGTGTTAACTTTATTTTTGAAGTATTTTATTGTATATTTCGCAGAAACTTTTCAACTTTATACTAGTTTTCAAGAGAAAATTCAGAGGTATCAATTCAATCATTTGATGGATTTATTATAACATTTTATTGGATTGGTGAATTGAAAACTGCGGGACTTTGAAGTGCCGAACTTTGAACTCAAATTTATTCAACATAAAACGATCAATTCATTCCAAATAATCTCCATTATTATTGACGACTTCTGCCCATTTTACAGGCAATTTGCGGATTCCTCTTTCGTAGTAGGATTTTGGTTTTGAATCGAAAAACTTTCAAAGCCAATTTTTGACTGCTTCTTCCGAATCGAAGTGTTCTCGCGCAAGCTCATTACTCATGATCCGGAATAAATAGTAA